GAACACGGTTTTGGGGTACATTCTGCTATAACTTTAATATGGAATCCCCAAAACAGTATAGGTAATTGGGTAGTTTTCAAAATTAGGGTCTTTTTTAGGGTCCTTTTTATAAGGGTGCCGTACTATATTGGGGACCCGAAAAGGGACCCTAATTTAGAGAACTACCCAATTATTAGCGCCCCTATGTTACAGGTCTAGGTTTTGGGGTTTGCCGTGGAATCGGACGCAGGCGCCAGCTTCTTGCGACGAGGCCGCGTCGGCTCTTCCTTCATTTTCTCCCACCCCACGGCGTCTGGGACGGCCCCAAACCCAAACCCCTAAACCCTAAACCCTAAACCCTAAACCTTAAACCCTAAACCCAAGCCCAGGGTTTTAAAACAAAACTCACTCAGCAAGGTGCTCTACATCTTCTCATCGCCTCTTTCCCTAAACCCTAAAACCCCAAACCCTAAACCCCCAAACCCGAAACCCTAATCCCCAAGCCCTAAACTTCTAAACCCGAAACCCCCGAAACACTCAGAGGGTCTTAGGCCCAAAAGCCCCCAAAACCCCCCAACCCCCTGAACTAAACCACTAAACCCGGAACCCTAAAGCCTTACAAAAGGTGCCTTAATAATTAGAGTTGGGTTTTGGTGGTTCCTTTTAAGGGCTCCTTAAAGGGTTCTATAAGGGCTACTTTAAGGGTTTGGGTTTAGGCTTTAGGAGCCTTAATACTAACTGGAACAGGGTTTTGGGGTTCATTATGGTATATAATTATAAGGAACCCCGAGGAATACGATTGGTATTTATTCTACACGATGCCCTGAACCCTAAAGCCGAAGCCCAAGCCCCGCAGAGGAGCCCTTAAAGGAGCCCTATTAGAAGACCCTGGAGGACCCTTCCAGGGAACCCCAGTATAGTATACTAGGGTTCCCCTTAAGGAGACGATGGGGTCCTACATAGACCCTAAACCCTAAACCTCAAGAACCCATCAGAGATCTTATCTTATACTGCTTCGTATTGTATAGTACATTATTGTATCTCATATGATGATATATGAGTGTATCTTTGTACAAGTGTCACTGTGGATGACTCGGACTTAGCTTGCCCCGAGGGATAGACAAGCTTGGAGGCCGGCTCGGATACGCCCGCTTAAGACAAGTGAGTCGGGTGGCGGGCCGGTTTAGGCTTCGGGGTTTAGCGTTTCGGATTCCCTAAACCCTAAACCCTAAACCCTAAAACCTAAACCCTAAACCCTACCCGGAAACCCTGATGCACCCAGGAATATCTGCAACTAGGCCCTGAACCCCGAAACCATCATCAGCAGCTGAATCACCCCGGAAACCCGATATCCAGAACCCTCTATGCTGCATCTCTGCATCCCTTAGGCCTGAACAGCATATACCCTCCGCCCTAAATCCTAAACCCCTTGCAAGTCTTAAATCCAAACCCGATATCCCGTAAGTCCTATCCTAACCCCGGAACCACCATGAAGCCCTCATAAAATGCACACGCATATATAAAACCCCAGCCAAGGTAACGGGGGAAAAACACTGACCCCATACGTATGTAGTAATGTGTAGATACCGATATATAGATACAGGTGCAGATAGGGATAGAGACAGACATTGACCTAGGACTAGACCTGGACAAAGATACCCATACAAACGTAGACATAGATATGTCTAGGAACCCGCATAGAAACAAGTAAGAGTGTGCAAAAGGACGTGTGCATGTATGAATATTCTGTGTGTGTATGTATATATATATATATACACATACACATACATTCATATACCTCTACGAACTATGTTTACGATATACTACATAATCCCCCTAAGCCCTAAACCCTAAATCAAACAGAACCCAGACTGAGCTCTTTGGGCACCTCGGCGCCCGAGAACGACTGCAGCGCCTTGTGGGCGGCGCTTCGGACCTCCTTGGAGGTCAGAAAGGCGTCGTGTTTTACTTGGAGGATCATGGGACCTAATAAGTAAGGCTATAACTACCTTAATTGGGGTTATAATTACTTAGACGTATAGTTGCCTTATTTATAACCCTAGTTACTAAGTCCCATGATCCTCCAAGTAGGGTTTAGGGCTCAGGCTTTAAGGGGTCTTAGGGTTTAGGGCTTAGGGCTTAAGATCAGAAAGCCTTGGGATTTCATCGGTTTAGTGGGACCCAGGGTTTGATGTCGAGCTACTTGAGGCCTTAAATTCTGGTCAGGGATGTGGGCTTAGGGTTTAGGGTTTAGGGTTTAGGGTTCTTAAACAGCCCTTTTGTATGGGAGGGTGTTTGAAAGGTTTTGAATTAGGGGCTCGGGGACTTACGGCCGTCGTAGCTAGACTATCTGTTACTGCAACCATGTATGCATGTGAGTATGCACGTACGTAGCTATGTGTGTAGGTATGCATGTATGTAACACATGTGTAGTTCTCTAAATTAGGGTCCCTTTGGGTGTCCCTTTTTATAAGGGACTTGTACTATATTTGGGCCCTAATTTAGAGAACTACCCATATGTATGTCTGCATGTTTACGTACACCAGTTGACATTGCGAAGAGTCAGTCAGCCGATAAGCTTCACCTTTTGGCACCTGGAGGTCTCTAAGAGGCGGGGTTTGGGGTCTGGGTTTACTGGGCTTTGAAGTAACCAAGAAGAAAAAAGTATAGACCTTTATTTCAAAATGGTTCCTATAAGGAACAGGTCCCCCCAAGAAAGTGTTAGAGTATAGCACTCCAAAGCCCAGTCTATGCAGCTGCAAGGCGTGGGCTGTAGCTCAACCCACGCCCATCAGCTGCAGCAGAAGAATAGCAAGTAGCGTTCAGCTAATAACGAGGGATCTGCGATCACTGTTTAGTACCTTGGTAGTTAAATAGTAAATAGTAGCACCTCTTACAAAGGTTCAGACCTTCGCAGGAGGAAACGAAGTCAAAACATGACTTCCTGTGCGCAGCACACGTAAAAATTGGCATCTCTCTCAAGCTGTCCGAACATCGACCGTAGAACAGCGTCAACTTCCCCGCGTCACCCACGTGCTTCACCGAAGACAGATGCCAATCACCCTGACAAAGCCAGCTGTGCAGGGGAAAAGGGACTTAGCTTTACAAGTCCAATAAAGGCCCATCTCTCAGGCAGCTCGGAGGTCGGTTCGCCCCATTGCTCAGTTGCTGCGACTCTCAGAAGAAAGCCGTCGTCGCCGCCGCCGCGGCAGAAGGAGTAGTAGTCGTAGTCGTAAACGTCGTCGTCGT